CCTTTTCCTCTTTCTCCCCAGGACACCCACACCTCCGCACAAGTCACCAGCATATTTCCTCACACATACAAACACAGCAAGATATCTTGGGATTATACCTAGCTGCCCAAATATCTCTTCTCTCACACGGACATACCAAGACACCTTTTATATATATGCACCTCTCATACTATTAGTTCTTTTATATAACCCAGCTCCTTCATTCATACAAATTTAGATTTCAATCCACGCCCTTGCCAACAATAGATGCATGAGCAACTTATCAAGCCCAAACTCTGAAGACTTCGAGGTTAAGTCCTGTAGAAGCAGAAGGGAGATATTCAAGGCCAAGATCCATGTATTGGGAAGGCTTGACATCGACCTTCGCGCTTGTTCTGTCCCAGTTCATATCGCTTATTAGGTACCTTGAAGAATCCGTGGATTCTTACAAGAGTGGGTAGGATCTTCTCCATATCATGGTAGATATTCGCCACACATTATGGCACGGGATCGACTTGCTTGATCACGCATCTGTAATTGTGGTGACACATTGGTAGATTGGAACACCAAGACAGGGACACTACAGGAACCTAGTTTGCCCCGTTTGCGCCTGGAAGCTCGTCGAGTATCTCAGCAAATTCATAGACCACCTCACTCAGCTGCAGAAGTCGCAGCTGGACCTAAATTGCAAGTTACTCGTCATGATGGAGTCGACACGCTGAGGGCAGCTATATATATACATGTATATACCACGATGTAAGTTCTTTTGTTCTCCCTTGCGTGCATCCTACTAACTGGAACTCAAGTTCATTTAACAGCAAGTATTGCTGCCATCACTTAGCCGGCCTCTCTGCATCGTTATAACCCGTCGGAGAGGCGGCGAGATCATGGCCTCTCAGGCAATCTACGTCGGTGAAAGCTTCCTCTCTAGTCCACCTCTCCGCGTCACCACAATTCGTCAGAAAGCTCACGGCGTCGTGGCCCCCGGGGGCCCGGAGTACAAGACCCAAATGTTACTACCAACTTGCCACACTCTGAGGCCATGTTCCACAATGAGGACGGCAAGAGTGTGGCAGGTTGGCAGTAACCTAAACCATGATCATGGCTATCAGCCCTCTTCGCCTCTACCACGTAGGCATTTATCTAGAACCAACCCCGCTCAATATCTCGCGACGGTGCTCTCACATAACTTCCACTACAGATACAGAACCCGATTCTAAATCTAGCAAGCTCTATATATATCCTAGTATCACTTTTCGATTCACTACGGTGCAAATCTCTATATATACCATCCCCACCACTGCCACGGATTTTCGCCGTTGGCGAATCCCGCGTTGGACCAAAAGCAAGCGAGCGATTTGTCTGACTTCTCTAGCAATCCCGCGGTTCCCAATGATGGCCGGATATTCAACACGGGATACGCGCTCGCCTACCCATTGACCAAGACCTACTTCATGGCGGAGTCCGTTTCAAATCCGGAGATCGATATCGAATGATGCCTGGCACTGGGACACTACTACGTATGTCCGACCGATGGTGCTTGAGTGGCCCGCGGGCGCGACTGCGTTTTTTACGTACAACAGGAACGACGAGCCGCAGCGGTCGCACGCAAGGCCGCAAACAACGAAGTTGTGGTTCTTAAGAAGAAGACGGATGCGGATAAGAAGAAGAAGCAGTGGAAGAGTGAGAAGGTGGAGGTAACGAGGAACCTTTCTATACTATATATAGCAAACTCAATATAAAATCTTTTATAGATTCATAGCAAAGTAGAGATTCTGTTCGGTAGCGAGCTCGTCACAGGCGGTTACCGAGTCCCTTGACAAGGAACAGCGCACCTGCCAGATAGCCACGGATGGCTGAGAACAGCAGAGGCACAAGCATACCGATGCTCACCGCCATGTGTGGGGGTTGAGGCGTTGATCCTCTTGACCCCGGGCGGAGCAAATAGTTTATAGAGTACCGGGGAAGGGCGGGCAAGGAGGCAAGGGCTCTATATCTTTATACCAACTCGCTGCGGCAGAAACCACTCCGATAACGACTTGATGCTATACCTCTCTTCAAATCATTATTTGACGAAGAAATCGCACATCAGTACCGCATCTACGGTCTCGGTTTCCTTTAGCAGTAAGACGAAGCGTCACTAGGGCCTTCTATATATACATCAAACGACGCTTTCATTGACATGCAAACCCAGCATGGAGATTCTGAGCCCGCTCTATATAACAACAAAGTCTAATCGAGAAAACGCCACCTGATAGAAAGGGGAGGAATGTGGAGGAGATGGAGAGGCAGTGGAGGGCGCAGTGGAACGTCACGAGTGCATCCCGCAACCTAGTGGTCGGCTTTATATGCCCGAAAGATATTCTACCCCAAATTCCAGCCCCAACCATAAAACCCGAGGGAACTGAGGTTCTGCGAGATGGGACCTTTCACAATGAGGCAGAAGATGCGATAGATGGCAGAGATGGTGGAGAGGAACAGGAGATCGTTGTGCCCTTCCATTATGTCCATCGGTGCCATTATAAATGGTGGCTTATGGGCAACTTTACAAGGTACATATTCCCGAATGACCAGGTGCTGGGAGTACTTCAGCATCTGGTTGAAGGACAGGTGCAAGTAACTAGAGTAGGTATTATCAAGGGGAGTGAAACGGAGGGAACAGAAGCTGCTAAAGATGACCATTGTCTTTCAAGGTAGTGAACAAGCTAAATCCCAAGGGATTAACTAGCAGATTCACAATTATATTGCGCTCATACAATAGTCATCAATTAAGATTTGGTGTTACGAGGTTTAATCACTCACTCTCATATAGAACTCTCTTAAGTACTCCCGTGAACCACGAAGCTGGTAATAATTGTGCCCAGGGGCTTACCCAGCAATCCTCATTCTCGCCTCAACCCTCCTCTTCAGGTGGGCGAGTTTTGACCATCAACCGCCCGGAAGGCTGTCTGGCCACCATCCCCCCGCCCACGGGGGACATACGAGTCATCTCTCCCACCTCCTGCGGTGCGAAACCCCCAATCAAGGTGCCGCAGCCCGACGAGCCCTCCCGGGACCCTTCCGATGAGCCTCTCGCTGACCATTCCGCTAAATCCAAGAGCACCTCCAGCAGGCAGGGTCAGGACGACTCCCTGTTCCCTCTCGGCCCGGTGCCCATCGGGCCCATCATAGCGCGGGACAGGGACCAAGCCTTCCGCTACCTCACATACAGTGAGGGCAAGGCCACCCGAAAAATAAACCATGCCAAGTCACAAGGGTGGATCAATAGTCGCCTCACAAACCTAATACTTGTCGTCCTCGCCAAGGTTGATATTAGAAGATTCCATGCCGTCACTAGAGGTTTTATAGAATTTGGATTTAGGTATTTCCCAGGGCTGCACATTTGGTATTTGACTTTAAGAAAAGATCTATACATGTCAAAGTAACTCAAATGCATATTTCATACCATCTAAAACACCCTTTTTAACCATATGTCGATTACAACCGTTAGAAAGCTAGTAGCAGGGCCAACTATTTACCAATCAACTATACAGGTTAGCTCTGTTAGAGGAGATATTGGCTTGTTTATCACCCTTAAACTGGCCGCAGAATGTGAGACAGTATAGAAGGCCTTAGCCAAGCCTGCGAGAGCTTCATACAACTCGATGACTTACAGTCTAGCTAGCACCTTGGGGCAGCCCTTACATACTAAGGCAAAATATGTGCAATACTATCGAAGACATCAAGGACTAAGAATGCCAAAAAAATAATTCAGAACCGGATAACTCTCTCTCGGGGAATCGAACCCCGGCCACCTGCGAACGCGCGCTGTCTGTATGACAGGCAGGTATCCTTACCACTAGACCAAGAAAGACGGCGGATATATTGATAGCGTCCCCACTTAGCATTTTGTGAACGCACGCTGCTATGCGGCGCTGAGCAACAAGGGAAGGAGGGTGAGATGCATCTAGAGGGAATAACCTAAACCCCATTCCAGAGAAGCTAGTACCATCCACCACGAGGGCGGAAATAGTACCTCAAGGATCACCTAGTTCACAAATAGATTCAAGGTAATCAATCGCAATGGAGGGCCATTTATCCCATCCCAAGCCCCGGGGACAGGCCATGAGCAACTAACTCACTGCACTGCCTTTAATATTTACAAAGATTCCAGATAGACAACTATTAGGCCTTTCATTTACGACTCGGCCGAATACATATATATATTTACATCTGAACATAAAGATCGACGATGGAGGCCTCTAATACTGCTCTCAAGTACTCTGAGGCGTTTGGAGAGGTCCACCCATCCCAGTCCAGAACCTGGGATCCAACGCCGAACACTCCAAGGATCATCCGGACAAGTAGGGGAGCGGCAACTCGGGCCTACCGCCAATAGATATCCTGAGCTGAGCCCACTATCCAGTCGGTTGTCGTATCTTAGCTGGGTATTGTTTGCAGCTCTAGTGCAGGTTCAGATTCATAATCATGAGGAGTGTAGATATCATGTATCGACAAGTATACCGCACCACACTAAGAAAGTAGAAGCTGGCCCTTTTACGGACAATCATGACTTTGATATAGCGGGTTCTCAAAAATAGCTATTGCCAGGACGGCATAGATGGTAGAGAAGTGGGCGTTAATGAGGCGGTTGTATCATCCTTTGACTAGTAGGATTAGGATGCAAACCCCTCCAAAATACCAGCTCGAAGCCGCAGGCAACCGCCCGCTTGAACATTGATCGACAGTCTGAACCGCGGGAATTATACTGGGAAGTTGGCTCCACGTCCGATTTCTCAACCTGGCCCTCCTGCGACGACTATCCAGGCTCTCATCTTGCGATAGGCACCACGAGAGAGGAAAGGGCCAGCGACTCCTTCCGGGGGCTTTGGCAAGAACTAGCTGCCTAATACGCTCGCCAAGGTAGCAGGGGATGGCCCTCTTGGACACACCATCGTTCAAATACTAAGGCCAGATGGCAAACGAGGCTGACCAATTCAAGCGACGGTTCGCGGCCGAACTCTCACCGAAATTAACCATCAGGTCCAATAGTCTAGTTGGTTAGGACGTGGGTTTCTGATTATATCTATCAGGATATAGGAGCCTACCCGAAGCCTCAGTTCGAATCTGGGTTGGACCTTCAGCTGTTTTTTTTTCTCCTTCTCCAAGTGAGTGGGTCCCTTTTCGGAATTTTGTTTTGCTTTTACACCTAGTCCACTTTGATCCAGTCTACATATAACATTCCTTCCATAAGATCATACGCTTAGTTTATTTAGAAGATTTGATTCAGGCTTTGGGGGCGTTGGACTCCATAGTGTGGGTCAGAATCGTCCTTGGACACAGGAGAACCTACTGTGCCGCACTGGTGACTGCAAAGTCTGAGAGATGGAGATCTGTGTCGAGACGGATGGTTGCCACAAGTCTTCCGCGTTGGCTGCTATTTGCGCTGACAACAAGTCCCCGTGCCCTCCACCTACACTAGTAACACTGTACACGATATTCCCATTCATATAGGTCCTGGGCTTTCTATCTTCCCAAGCATGGCGCCCTGTAAGTAGCCATGTCATAAGTACGTTTTGCTCTATGTTGTGCGACTTATGTATCAACAAACGCTCTAGTCGAGTTCACTGTAATGTCAGGCCGTTTAACGCTTTATCTAGCCAAATTGTCGCAGACATCATATAGATCACGTCTATAAATAGCAATATAAGCTATCCCCCATCCTGCTCCTACGGGCTAGATCAACACGTATGAGCCAGGTATACGGATGTGCGAGCCTAATTTGAACCTCATATCCAGGTCAAGACGACGGAGCAAGCGGCTAAGGATAAGAAGGAGCAGGAGGAGAAGGCGGCGAGGGAGAAGAAATAGGTGTCCGACATATAGGTGTGGGATAATACTCCCAAAGTGCGTCAGCATTCCGGCATCAGACTAGACTACGTACCAGCTGGAGACTGGTACTGCATGGAAGCCGTGGATACACGCGAACAGGATAACTTCTACAAATTATTTGTACTAATGACGACGAGAATTACGTTGAGGACGATCAACAATAGGTCAAAGATGACCAATATCAAAGTCGACGACGACGGAGCTCCTGGGGGGATGACAGCCAGGATCTGCATTCTCGTCACAGCCTTAGGTAGCATCGCCTATGGAATATACGACGTCACTTTCGCCACTACCTTCTTCGCCATTATCTGGCTAGCTATTGTCCAGACTTTGATCTCTATTCCAGAGGGGTTAAGGTGGATATAAGAACGTTGAAACAGTGCCAAAGGGGGCCTTTAACATAGTTTTCTGCCCTCATTGCACCCCATTACCAAGTTTACATGCTGCTACAAAGGATAAATTCTCATAGATATGAGCGCCCATAACACCGGCAACGAAATATTTCGTCCAGGACAATTACCAATGGAGCAAAGAAACAGTCAGTATGAAGCATGAGAGAATCTTTCAGCATGAGAAGTGACGACCATCGGTGCCCTCCGCCAACCTGCAATCAAGGCCGGACACAGGAAGGTGCCAGCTAGAAATTCAAAGTAGCCTGAGGTGCATTACCATTGGAAGCACCGTAAGTAATGATTCAGTGTCTTACATCACCCTCATAGAGGGAGCTCCAATATAGCAGATATAACACTATGGTAACCCACCTCTAGGAAGGCCTAGGAGCCATCCTCCTCACTATATCCACGCTAGGATTGCCTCATATGCTAAACTGAGGCCTATAACGCCAAATTACTAAGTCACCGAAGGCTGTTTCCCGGAGGCAGCTAGGAGTTATAAGAGTCGGCGCCCTCGACTTCGAGTACTCTCTGTCGTCGCCCAAAATATATTGTTGTACGAGAGGCCTAGTTCAGCAACTTTACGAACAACCCTAGATATATCGTTGACCAGTTAATCATCCCTGGCGAGGTCAGGTGGATGCAGAGAACTAGTCTCGTCATGCGAAGTGGAAGTAACGCGCGATGGTACAGCCAAGGTCAGGCAGGGGTCAGCAAGCAACTGTTTCCCCGGGCGATGAAGAATAGGCCCAAATGTCCGCTCCTCAAGAATAATAAGCCGTGGATGTTAAAGATACAACTTTCGATTGGCGAAAGCAAATCCTACGCCCTTTGGAGCGTATTGGGGCGAATGTAGGAAGATAGAAAGTGGGGGAAGAACCTAGTTTTCATCATATACCTAAACATCATGGGTATTCGGTGGACGAGTGTAAAGGCCGCATTCAAATCGTATCAGATAAGGGGCATTATATATAACACATATAAGAGAAACTCCGGGGTACAAATATCACCAACTAGCGCCTAAATAAAACCTCCCTGGTATCTTTCATCATTCCAAATTCCGTAACTCCTCCTCTTCCTCGTCCTCGCTCGCTATTCCGCCACAGGGAAGAAGGGATTAAACATAGAAGGGTGCTCCGCAAGATTATCCCAAAACTCGGCCTCGAAGTCCCACGGCTCGAGCTGCGACTGCCGGATCCACGGCTCGACGACGCTCGCGGCCACCGCCATCTCGGGCGCCGCCGCCGGCTCCGCGCCACGGGAGGCGGCGGTGGGCGGGCTGAGGCGCCTATCGCGCAGGTGGATCCGCTCCAGGAACTTGTTGATGGTGTTCGTGGCGCGCGAGAGGAGGGCGTAGTTGGGCTCCGTGGGGCGGACGATGGTGCCCAGGTCGACGCCCGAGACGATGATGCCGAGGTCCCGGAGGGTCTTCGACTCCTGGAAGCCGTCCGTGGGGTTGTTTCGTCTTAGCATGGATATCATGATTATGCCTATTGCTGGGAGGCCGTAGTGGCACAGCTGATTCCATCGTGTTAGTACGCCTTTGGCAGAGGTTTTGGGCGAAAAAGAAACGGGGGCAACAGGGTAGAGGGGTAAAAAAAAGGTGGTTCCGCGGGGAGCCTACCTTCCACTCAAAGCTTGTCCCCGACGAACAGACTAGCTGGCCTCGAAGGACAATAACCTCCACGACCAGCGAAAGGATTTCCCGAGCGAGGCTCACAAAGGTAGCGTCAGGATCAGCCGGCGACCCGAGGCATAATAGGCGGAGCAGGAATAAGACGTGGAGGTAGTTGAGGCGCGTGCTGACTAGGAAGTCGCGCTCGAAGAGCCCGCCCCCGGGGTAGTCTTTCAGGCTTCCTTCCATTCGGAAACCTCTAGGGAGAGCCATCCATTGGTCTTCGGCTTGTTGCCGAATGTGACTTTTAGGAAGAGGTATTTTGGTCAGCCAGGTGAGGTCGGATCTGCTAGGAATAACAGGTCTCTAGAAGGGGAAAATATGCTGTTGAATAATGAAAAAGGGGAGGGGATGGGACAAAACATACTTGACTCTGTGGTTAAAATTATCCCTACTCCCGCCATTGAACATCTCGAGGATCTCCTCTTTCAAGGACGCACAGATGGCGGTCCAGCGCGTTTCTGCCCAGATGTCCATCTCGGAGTCCGGGTGCCACGTCAGAACGTGCATCCTCCGCTCGGGCACGGGGAGGGACTTCTCGTCTGGCGCGGCGGTCTGGCTCAGGGCGGCCTGCAGGTGGCAGAACTTCTTGCCCAGGCGGGGCGGACGGCCGAGGAAGATTGCCCAGTTCTTGTCGGCCGAGTAGGCGCGGGCGAAGGCGGTTCTCCTCATTATTACGAGGAAGGCGGGGACGTCGCTGGAGGTCACTGTCTTCTCGTGGTACCCGAGGGATACTATGGAAGTGATGACGTCTCCGAGCTTGCGGTAGGAGTGGTATGCTGAGACGAGAGAATGAGAAGACGTTTTGTTTTATGTTGTGGGGAAGGGAAGGGCGGCGCGGATAAAAGGTAGGTTGGGAGGGCATGACTTACACTGAACCCCAAACACGTAGGAATGTGAAATAAAGTTCTCGTACTGGAACACAAGCTGGAGGTCATTTAGCCTGTCAAAAGACAAACACACCTCGACGGCGACATTCGTCAACTTCACCGCCAATGCCAGCAGCTCCTGCCTGCGCGCGTCTTCTAGGTACAACGCAGGGAAAATGTGGACCTCTGACGCTGCGCGGATGACGGCGCAGAACAACAAGCCGACGGTCTCCAGCCTCGTGTTCGAGCCTAGGAACTGAGACGCGTACTCCCTCACCGTGAGCGACGGCTGACAGCTCAGTGGCCGGCTGGAGTTGTGCAGTAGCGACCTCGCGTACGCTAGATACTGGTCGGCGCCGCCGCTGGACCGCGACGACAGCGACAGGGAGAGGAGGTCGTCGAGGGGGTCATGCACGATGAGGTCGACGAAGGGCTCGCAGAGGGCGAGGTTGGCGCCGGTGGCTCGCCAGAAGGCGATGAGGTCCCTGAGGGGGTTAAGGGGGAAGGTGCCGGGGAAGGCGCCGAGGAGGCGGCGGAGGCCCTCGGCGATCTTGGCGGCCTGCATCTCGCCCTCGAAGCCGAGGAAGGGTTCCGAGCCGGGAGGAGCGGCCGACTCGGAGGGGGGATTGGAGACCTGGAGGGGGTTCTCGTCCTGGGAGAGGTGGTTGAAGATGGTGACGTGGCTGGAGGCGCCGAGGTAGAGGGGATTGGGGTAGCTTGTCCTCGGGGTCGAGGCGACGGGACTTGCGGTTGGGGTTTCGCTAGACGGTGATGGTGTTAGCGGCGTCATCTTGGTGGTTTGCTATACATCATAGAGTGAAACTGTCTCACTCCATGCTCGTACGAGACGAAGCTGGAGTTGACCTAACCGAATCTTAACTCATGTTTGCACTGCATAGAGCTTGAATACGGTTCGCCGAGTCTCGCCCATGCAAGTACTAATATACGGGAGATCGAATACAGCTCGCCGAATCTCACCCGTCTCTACACGGCACGGAGCTGGAATACGGCTCGCCGAATGCCACCCGCGCCTACACTGCATGGAGCTCGATCCCGGTTCGCCTAACCCCACCCATGCTGACACTGCATGGAACTCAAAGACGGTTCGCCGGGGCCCGGAGACCGGAGACCGGATACCGGATCCCGAAACACGGGGGCAAGTGGATAGGGGTAGGGGTAGGGGTAGAGTAAAGGGCAAGGCAGGTAAGCGGGGACCACTCACGGGGTTGGCGGCTCAACCTGATCGGAGTGCATCCGCGGAGGTTCCCTGTTAATATGGCGCTTCCTCGAGAAGGGGCGCATCCGATACACG